GGGGGTTCCGCTCCGTCTCGTACATGGCGGCAACGACCCTGGCCGGCTCCCTTCCTGTGGAGCTCCTTGCCATGGAGAGACACGATCTCTGTTGGCGCGTAAGGGAGCTCCGCGAGGAGGGGAGCATGTATCGGCCGGGGAATTGGCGGCCCTGAAGTTCCAGGCAGTCGCCCGAACTCTCGAGCGGTGGGCCGACGCAATGTTGGCCCCGAGAGAGTTTGGGCGGCTCACGACGGAGGCCGTCCGCCCCTGCCTGGCGGAGTTCGCGGGCAGGAGGGGACGCGGACTGACGTTCCATCTGGTACAGGTGATGATCGGACACGGCTGCTTCGGACATTACCTGCACCGGATCAAAAAGTAGCCCACCACCGGGTGTCACCATTGCCCGGAGCCGGATGACACCGCGCACCACACCCTGTCCGCATGCTCGGCATGGGACAGGGAGCGCGGTGTCCTGTCCCGGGCGGTGGGGTGCGGGGTGCGAGAGCTCTCGCTCCCGCGCATGGTTAGATCCGGGAGCGAGGAGGCTTGGGGAACGGCGGCCTCCTTCTGCCGTGACGTGTTGTCGCGGAAGGAGGCCGCCGAATGGGAGCGTCGCCCAGGAGACCGTTGCAGGCAGCGACGGGGTGGGCGGCGCTCCCCTAGTATGGGCAGTGGGCCCGAGGGAGCGCCAGCCGGAGAGGAAAGCGGACCACCGGTTAACCGGAGACCGCCTCCCCGGCCGCCTCGGGCCCGACTCCGGACGCGCGGGGGAAGGGGAGCGACGGGTGCGTAGGTTATCCGCCCCTTCCCCCGCGCGTCAGTAGGAGTAGGTAAAGGGGGAGTGAAGGTCCGGTTTAAAGACAGACCCCACTCCCCTGCCCCCCTCCTATGGAGGGGAGCAAAGGGGGGACGCGAAGGAAGGGTGGGTGTCCCCTTCTTCCAAGTAGAAACCAGAAGGCCAACCCGGCTGGGCAACCAGTCGGGACCGCACCCTGGACTTCCTCAGCGGGACAGGGTGCGGTACACGAGGCTGAGGAGCTCCCGGAGAGCTCTGGGGCCGGGGTGTTGGGGAGGAAATACGGAAGTAGTTCCCCTGACTCCCCCCCACCACGGTCCGGTTGGTAGACATCCCGCAGTGGTTTTAGTCGGTAAGAGTCTGACATAACCCTCGACCCTCCAAAGGGTCGAGGGTATCCATGACGGATTTCTCCTGCGTTACTAAAAGAAAAAAAAAAGGGTACGTCGAGTTATTGATCTCGATGTTAAGTTTTTCCTCAGTATCTTATCTACATATTTCACCGTTTAATAAATATATTATAAATATATAATAAATTACAGTATACTTCGTAAAAATATACTATGTAGCACATATCGTTCAGAAACGTTTGCGAGACTTTGGTAATAAACAAAATTATGTACTTGTTAATTATATATTTGGTTAATTATATTGATCGCACTTTTTTTAACAAAATTAATAAACATTACCGTTTTTTTAAATCCACATATACTATTTATTTTGGTACTTTTTGTTGGAATATGTGTAGGAAATGAGTAGATGACTGCGATGATCCCAAGCTGTAGATGCATATATCCCAAGATTTAAAATCATTGATACCCTGTTTGATATTTTTTGGTATGGTACTTCTTTTCATATTACTTGGCGTTTTCTTTCTTTTGTAAAGACTTTTTGTTATGATTTCACAGCTTTTTGTAAAAATTTTTTATGTACAAATCTTATTGTACTACTCTTTTTCAGCAAAGAAAATTTATATTAGGTGCGCAACTAAGTTCTCGCTGTTTTTTTGATGAAAATGCAACTTTATTGTGAAAAAATGGTTACAAATGAATCATTCAAAATATTGCCCATCGCTAGCGACTTTTTCCCATCTTTCTGGCAGAGCTCGAATACCGTCACAGTAGAAGTGTTCGTCTTTTGAGGCTATCCACGAATCAAGCCATTTTGAGATGTCTTCATATGAGCGGAACTGCTGATTAGCCAGACCATGTGCCATCGAACGGAACAAGTAATAATCGGACGGCGCAATATCTAGGGAATATGGCGGGTGGGGTAGGACTTCCCATTTGAGCGTTTCTAAGTAGGTTTTAACGGGTTTGGCAATGTGAGGCCGAGCGTTGTCATGCTGTAGAATCATTTTTTCGTGCCTCTGCTCGTATTGTGGCCGCTTTTCGCGCAGTGCTCGGCTCAATCGCATCAATTGAGTTCGATACCGTTCCCCAGTGATGGTTTCGTTCGGTTTCAACAGCTCATAATAAATAACACCGCCCTGGTTGGGACCAGGTTTTGCTGTGTATTTGGTGGGCCAAATACACAGCAAAACCTTCGCAGCGTGAATATTCGGCCGAGCCGACGACGTAGAAGCATGACCACCGGGCAGTCCCCATGATTTTGTTCTCTTTGGGTTGCTGTAATGAATCCATTTTTCATCACCCGTAACGATGCGATGAAGAAAACCCTTCCTTTTTTGCCGCTGGAACAGTTGTTCACAGGCGAAAAAACGACGCTCAACGTCTCTTGGCTTCAAATCATAAGGAACCCAAGTTCCTTGTTTTTGAATCATTCCCAACGCATGCAATCGCTTGGAAATGGCTTAGCGGGTAACTCCTAATGCTGAAGCAAGCTCTTTTTGCGTTTGGCACGGATCCTCATCGAGCAATGCCTCCAATTCAGCGTCTTCGAAGGTTTTTGGCCTTCCTTCACGCGAACGGTCGTCAACATCGAAATCACCGTCTTTGAAGCGACGGAACCAATCACGGCACGTTGTTTCACTTAGAGCAGCATCTCCGTAAACTTTTTGGAGTTCTCGATGCGCTTCAGCCTCCGTTTTCTTCGAATGAAAGAAGAAAAGCAACACTTCCCGCAAATGACGATTATATGGCACAAAATCAGACATTCTCACACAACCAAAAGTATATGACGCAAAAACAAAATGTGACTAATGTGTCAAAGCGGTTTGTTTACCATATGTCTAAGCTTGGTTCATGACGTTTTGGTTATGTCACAATCGACCAGCACTTACTATTGGAGCCATCTCTTGAAAAACAGCGGGAACTTAGTTGCGCACCTAATACATTTTTGAAATTTTAGAGATTGTAATTTTTTAACAACAAATGAAGCGGAAAATCGAAAATACATGTTTCTTTAGTGGTTTTTCCCGTAGAATCGATGGCGTGGTTAGTTTTTCTGAAGTTATTTTTTCTTAATTTGTTTTTAACAATTTGTTACAAAAAATTTTTTTTCAACCAATTTCAAGCATCAATAATCATTGGTAGGACTCATGCCAGAAACCTAATACTTTATTTACTTTTTTCATATCTGTACTGGTTTAAGTACGGGCTTTAATTAGTTAACAGAAATGTTAAGAGTAGTATGCGCATAGATGATTGGAGAAGGATTGCAGCCGCTTGCGTCATAACGTAGCTTAGTCGATCTAGCAAGGGATGTCATCGCGCGGCGAAGGGAAGGACAACGTACCGCTATTGGTGTTTTATCTCGCCGCACCTACACTCGCCGCATGTCACCAACAGTTGCTGGGAGGACTAGGCCGCGCTGTAACCCGAGAGGCTACAACGCTCCTCCAATCATTCACTTCGGCCCGCGCTTACTCAGCCAGAACAAAAAATCATTATGACATCAAAATGACGTCAAAATGATAAAGAAAACTCAGTTTTTCATCACGATTCGGTTATTTTCTCGTCATTTTAATGTCATTTTGATATTATGATTTTCTGTTCTGTTAGGATATTAGTCACATTTTTGTAAATAATAACTCAATAAATATTGCAAATCTCGCAAAATGGTATGGGACTTTTATGTTTGTCTTAATCCGCCCTACGTCTCCACAAGCTCTTCGATATTTGTTATAAGACACTCTGTTTACACTCGGAACCAGACGTGTATATTTGCCTTCTTTATGTTTTGAATAATTTTTTTATTGGTTTTGCCACTACGCAAAAGTTTTAAACATCCCATTGAATATATCTAAACGATCAGTGGCGTTGGAGAATTCATTTTATCATACGCCTGGAACGCCAGAGAGAGCAAGGGAAAGAAGGAGAGAGGAAGAGAGAGAAAGAGAGTACCCTAACATTATAACAATACTTACATTTACGATTTTCGACCTTGTACTTATATGGATAAAGCTGAAAATCGTACAAGTAGTCCCAATTATAATATTAAGGCATTCCTGTTCCCGAGTATACATTGTTGTCGACCGACAACTATTGCACAGTGGACCGATTGCACAGAATTGTCAGGCACGAGGTACAAATCATTTATTTTTAAGAAATATTAGTTAGATCTAACAATAATAGAATCCAATTCAATCATAATGGCGTAATTACTTATTATTTATCTGCTTAAAGTAAGGTGAGCTTATTGTGGATGTAGATATCTATATTCATAAGTGGAATATCGTGGGTACAAAGAATATTAAATGAAGTTATGTGTTTGTCAATGTTTGCGAATCCGCTCGCAAATGAGCGGAGATATGCGGATGCCGGAACATCCTTATCAGAAGGATCGGAGGACGATAATAGAATCAGGTTTCGTACGACCTATTCAGGTCGTAAATCCGAGCCGAGAAACCGGAGAAACACTCATGACAGACCCGCCCACGAGCGTTAGAATGAAACGACTTCCGTCGTTTCGGATGGCCTGCCTTTTCGGATCAAATGGCCTACAAGCTATCACGTTCCTGAGAAGCGTGGAGATGCACAAGAGAACGTGCTGAGCTCGTGTCACGCGAGAGGCGACTCAGTTGCTCCAGGGCGACTAGCCAAGGCCCTGAAGACGCTTGGACAGAGAGCTCAGAGTTCTCGAAGAAGCGACCACGTCGCTTTTGAACGCACCAAGATCCTAGACGGATACTTGGCAAGAGAGAGTTCGCAAATCTCTCAAGGAGACGGCAACGTCGTTCCTAACAGCCGAGGTCTTTGTTGTGTCCTGGACAAGCATAGAACATGCAATGTCTAGATTTGTTTGGTTTACTTCGGATCAGCGTTATTCTTGTCCAAATCCTTATTATTTGAATCTGTTTCCTTTGGAGGTGGGTTACTGTTAGGTTTAAAAATAATAGTATTCTCGCTAGTGTTGAATTTAACTTCAAATATATTTCCCTTTTTTCAGATTTTATTCTCGGGATCGAAGATTTAGATGGATCTGTTTTGAAAACAGCCAGGTCGAGCGTGCCTGGATTATAATAACTTTTCAACAGACGTCTAAATTGAATCCGCCGTCCGGCTCTTCTTGTTCTTTTCGGCATGAGAGATTTTTAGGTAATATTTATTTTAACAATATCTATAATAGAGTAAATGGAAGGGACGTGGTTAAGTTTGAAGAATAAAAAGGCGAATGGTGCTCGTGGTTCAAGCACAACACTTTTAAAGTAAGGAAGAGGAGAACTATGCTCGTGGTTCAAGCACTGTGTTCTGATAAAAAGGGAGGAATGGTGCTCGTGGTTCAAGCACAACACTCATAAGGTAAAGAAAAGAAGAACGGTGCTCGTGGTTCAAGCACGGCGTTCTGGAAAAAGATTGAAGATGATAAGAGGGAAGAGAGGTAAAGAAATCTGTACACACATATATATTATGAAATTACTCTATATTGTTAAGTTTAAAAATTCATACACTGAATTTAATGTAGTTAATAGCTGGCTCAATACTTATTCAAGTAATAGAAATGATTCTCTATAGTATCATTATTAGGAAAAGAGGCTCGTTCGACCTTTAATGATTTGGATTTTACGTCTTAACAAGCGTCTTAGCATTTGCAGACGAAGTCCCAAGAACAATAATCTTTAATACCGACCTTTTCATTCCAGGCTCAGGACCCTTTGGCAATCGGCTAACAAGAGGCTCAGCGAAAGATTGTCTGATGGCTAATTGGAGGCTAACAAGAGACTGCTTAGAGACTAACGAGAGACTGCTTAGAGACTGCCGAAAGACTGCTTAGAAACTGCCGAGACTGCCTACGCGCGAAGGGCCGAGCCCTTTTTATACCCAAGCCCGACACTATGGATATCAATTGAGCGTCTTTTCCTAATTCACCCTTCATTATTTATTGGTTAGAAAATATAAAAATGTTATTATCTAGTAATTAAAATTATACTTAATCAGATGTAGCGTTTGGTAATTCAGTTGTCTCGTTGTTGGCTGATTTATTAATAAAATTATGTTTTACTAAGAAATGGAAATGTTGTTATTGATTTTCTTTGGTATAATATAAGAATTTGGAAACTTAAAAGAATTATTTCATTCGGGCGTAGTAATCATTAAAGTTAAATAATACGAATAGATCCTCTTACAATTCTAAAGCGCATATATATTAGGATAGGCGGTTTGACAATAATATTTGAGGAATTATTTGCGAAATATGATGACAATTATTTAATATCATTTAAAAAGAAGAAAAATAGAAGAAAGAAAGGAAATTATTTTCCTCTTCGAGTCTTTGTTTCAGGTCTTTGTTTAGTTCACAGTACGTGGGACAGCTATCACTCGATGATATCTATAACATAAACACATTCCAATATGTGCGCGGTTGTGCCCGAACGAAATCGTTCTTAGTCCCCGAGACAAATGAATTTATAAGCTAGCTCTAAATTTATTTCTTAAATTTTCTTATTCTCTCTTTTCCTATTTTATATATTTATTATGTCGATGTCTGCTTCAGTCCTATGTTAATGTTAATTTTATTTCAAAATATGCTATTTATGATTATTTTTGTGTTATTTAGTTTGATAATCTATCGCTTACTAAACGAAGCAAGAAGGTAGAAGGAAGAGAGAAAAAGAAGAAGATAGATGATGATTCAGTAAATAGTTTCGAGTATTAATGATATTATATTATATTAGCAATAAAAGACGGCAGAGGTACCTGTTGATTGCAGAAGTGTTTGTAGGAGGCGTTGCAGTTGGATTAGTCGATGATAGGTAAGGATTTGATTGGGTAGGAAAAGGTATGGTGAGTTTTGGTGAGAAGATAGGGAATTTTAATATGGTGGGACGTTACATCTTCGACAGACGTTCGGAAAGAGAGTTACTCGCTCCACACGGAGGCGATCGAGGTTCACTCCTGAATCGTGGCAACGAGGCGAAGTCAAAGCTAAGGTGGATTCTCACCATAAAGCCTCAACCCAGCAGGGTATATTAGCACCGCAGTCAACTCAGCAGAGTGTAGAGTGCGTTGGTTTGAATCTCGACTATGTACGAAAACTGCTCTAGGAAAGCCTAGAAAGAACGTCGGTAAAGACGGGCGCGTTACAAGTCGCACAGACCAGACACCAGGGATTGCCACAATCGGCGTTGGGCCATGCGAAGGCGTCGCGCCGGCCGTTGCGCTGGGTGATATACCCGGTCGGCGGATTCTTGCTCGCGGGTTGCTGAGTCGGGTGGCGCGCCTTGTAGCGGCCACGGCTGGAGCTACTTGTCAGGCGCGGGCGGCCGGCGGGACGGCCGCACACTTGCCTGCGAGAGACCGGGCACCTCGCCGACTGCGAGAACGACGGCGCCGGGAACCCAGACCGCCCGCCATGCAGGATCGGCCGGCCGCATTCCCGAACAGTCAACTTTTTTTGTCGTCATGCTTGATTCATTTTTTGTTGAAATGAACATTTCATATGTAATAAAGCAATTAGTACAAAAGTGAACAATTAGTACAGAAGCTATTGACATTTGAAAGAATGATTGTATATGGAACACATATATTTGTAACTGACAATTAATACTTATAAAATCTTATTTTTGTAATAAATAAAAATGCTTTCACGCAAAAATGCGTTAACAGACTTTTTTATATAGTACATTACTTAACAAATATTTTTATTATTTCATTCTTTACAGCTGCGACCATCTGTGACATGGAAATATAAATCGGTTTATATAATAGAAAGAAGTTTCTCATCTTCAAACGCTGGATAAATAGACTTTTTGTGGAATTTTTCTACATGAAGTGTGCAATGTATCGACCTGCAATTCGACTCATTTATCATATACAGGGTGTTTGATAGCTGATCATGCAGACGAAAGTTGGAGATAGATTGGGTGTAGCCGAGAAGAAAAGTCATGTACCATAATGTCAAATTGCCAATAGTTATCGAGTTATTAATTAAAACATGTGAGCCAACGAGCGCGTAGAAAGCGGAGGGCGACCGCAGTAAGCATGTAGACATTTGATACAGGCGGAGTCAGCGAATGGCGATAGGAGAGCGCGCGTGGCGAGGGGCAACGTAAACGACAAGAGGCGAGCACGCGCGACGAAGAGCGAGCGAGCGCGAACGACGAGGAGCGAGCGAGCTATAAGGAAAAAGCTGTAAAGAAAAAGCATATGCGTGTGTGTGTTAATGTAGAAAAATGTTGATACCAAATGTATCGTATCTGCCTCTTCCCCTTCTTTCACCTCTGTCTCTTCCTCTCCATTCACCTCTGCCTCTTCCCCTTCTACCATCTCTGCCTCTTCCTCTTCCTCTGTCTCTTCCTCTCCCTCTCCCTCTTCCTCTTCCTACTGCAGCCACGACAGCTGCTTGAATAATATTTTGCAGTGTTTTAGGCTATAACAATAAGTTAATTTTAAAATATGAGACAAAGCGTTAAATAACAACTTACAATTTAATATAATATATTATAATTTAATATAATATATAGATCAGCATAGACATATACAGATTTTCATACTTACAGTTAATATAATTGGCTCGGTCGCCGTTGTGGCCGACGTAGCCGTCGTGGCCGTCATGGCCGTCGTGACCGTCGTGGCCGTCGTAGCCGTCGTGGTCGTCGTGGCCGTCGTGGCCGTCGTGGCCATTGCAGCCCCCGCAGACGCCGCCGTCGTGGACGTCGTCATCACCGCGTTCAGCTCGTTCTGGAAAAATTCATAAAACATATTTGTTGCATATAATATATATATATGTATAATTAATATTTAACGATTAAATATATACTCACAGAATCATTCGCCGACATCTCTCGTTGCAGTGCCAGACACCGACTAATTAGAAAACGTGCGCGTACGCTAGGCGCATAGTTGCCGATTTTTTACGATCGCGCGTACGGGCGCGCGTTCTATAAAACAGATTGTACTGCAGCACGGTACAGACAACGACAATGGCGTTTAAAATGCCTTTACTCGTAATTATATATAAAATATAGGTTTGAATTTATACTTAATATAATAATATGTAAAATATATGTTAACAACTATTTTGCAACTTTTTAGACACGATTTTGTAGTAAATTCTGCTTTACAACAATCTCGGGTTGAATCGCGGACCAATACTTTTCAATATATGTATTCATTATAATACAGGGAATAGAACAGTGAAAATCTTGCCTTTGAATCCGAAAACAATTAGCAGAAGAAGTGAATCTTTTTCAATGCGAGAGTTCGCATTAACTTGAATTCTATCTACTGCGATTGAATGCAAGGAATGTCTTAAGCTAAGTGAATTTTTTTTTAAACGAAAGTTCGTATTTGTTTTAATTTTACCACTCTGAAAGGAAATTCGAATACTTTTCAATGCATAAGGGCGAAATAAAATATACTTTACTGTTTGACAATACCATTTTGTAGACAAATGTTTTTTAGTCTAATTTATAATTACAAAGAACAAATGATTCTTTATGATAAGAAAGTAAAAATTTATAAACATTTTATGCAAAGCATTTATCACTACCATCTCGCATTCAGCGTGATGAAGTTTAATGCGAATCAATATTTTTCAATATTTCTGTTCGGATCAGAAAGCAGAAATTAGAAGTATTAAAAAATATCAATACTTGTTAATTCTTCTCAATCCAACATTTTTTGCAGAGCATTAAACGACAATACATTTACGTCAACCATATAGATTCCACGTGGATACAATATACCTGTTCTTATCGGATAAACGTTCAATTAACAGTCGAATAAAACTCATTATAAACATGAAAACACCTTACATAAACATATATAACAGTATGTCTCACCTTATTCTGGTTGTTTAATAAAACAATCCTGCATAAAATGTCGGATCGAAAAGAATTAAAAAATATTAATATTTTTTCAATATTTCTTAATTTTATAAATTTTATAAATTTTTACTTTCTTATCATAAACAATCATTTGTTCTTTGTAATTATAAATTAGACTAAAAAACATTTGTCTACAAAATGGTATTGTCAAACAGTAAAGTATATTTTATTTCGCCCTTATGCATTGAAAAGTATTCGAATTTCCTTTCAGAGTGGTAAAATTAAAACAAATACGAACTTTCGTTTAAAAAAAAATTCACTTAGCTTAAGACATTCCTTGCATTCAATCGCAGTAGATAGAATTCAAGTTAATGCGAACTCTCGCATTGAAAAAGATTCACTTCTTCTGCTAATTGTTTTCGGATTCTGGCCCCAGCGAAGGA